CATGTCTGTTGTCAACTCAGTCGAGGATGTTTTATATTTCCTCTGTCCCACAATAATAAACTTATTCTTCTTTTTGCAAGAATGGTCTAATTTGGATTATGGTTCAGATTTCACGACTGAAAAGTTGAAACAATAATTTCAATGCACTTTTTCTCTTAATACAAAAAAGGTATATTAGAGTCCAATGTCTAGAGGGTAAAAACAAGAAAATAACTATTGTTTCTTGATACTAAAGTTGTGGAGGGCTTTGAACAAGTATCCATTTTGATTAGTTAATAACTTGTTATTAATGTTTAAGAGGAGATAATGATATTATTTGAGATTGTTGAGTATCTGTCGGTGGTACTTCTATATTGTTGATGATTTTCATTTGGTGAATGGTAAGTCACTTGCAAGCCCAGGAACAATTAAAAGAAATCGATGAATGTGTCCTGACCAAACAACGAAGAAGCGCTATCAGAAAGCATTTAATGTTCAATTAAAGTGTCAAAATTATGTGCAATATCATTTTAATGCAGTCCGTGTCAAAGTTGAAACGTGTATATCGATAAAGATTTGTATGTAAAATTCATCAAAATTGAATCTTACGTGTTTTTATTTCAACAAAATTACTATGTTCATGTCAATACACAATTATTGAATTCTATTTCCAACACCGATGAATCGAGCTACTTATCTAATTTGTGAGTTTGGGAACGAGGAGGAGGGGGACCATAATATACAATCCAATTCAAAATGGACGATACTTCACAAGCTACAAACTTGCCATGAAGCATCCCATGTTCGGTGGACCTATTTCGTACGGAATTCTCAAAGTAAAAGTCCAGACAAATAGTACTAGGGATAGACTTCTTGGTCTGGTCTTAAATGAAAAGAATTTGATTTCACTTCTAACTAATTATTATAACTTATTTGAAGGAAATGACCATCAGGTCAAGGTGCCAATCTAGTTATTTCTTGTGCATCTGCGCTTGTGAATCTAATTAATTTGGTGATTGCTAGAGATTTCTTAAATATTTCCCACAAATTGAATTTAAATGATTAATCACAACAAAAATAATACCATTTATGCCCAGAGGAGGATGCACACTGGTCTCTTTGAGTTTGAGACTTCTTTCCTCTACTGAGCTCGATTTTTACAGACGTCGTTTTAGTTCTCTTAGCACTGGAGCTTGGTTGAGCCCGTGCTGGTTGGGTTTCTTGAAGCATTTCTTAGCATTTCGACCGACCAAAATGAATTCAAGATTGCAATATTTTTGTCAATTCATTCCCTTACTGATATAATCAAACACTTACCTCATCAAATTCATCCACCACTGTGTACCCTTCCCCTCTCATTAATTCCAGCAATCTTCCTAACATTTCGAAAATTTCATCAGTTCTTTCGTTTTTCATATCTCTAGCTATAAAGCTGTGTGTTCCTCCAGTTGTTTCTATCCAACTACAGCCAGCAACTTTTTTCAACCTGGTGTTGTTCAATTTCTCTCTGACCATCACAGCCTCTTCGCATTTAGCAGCATTTGAATACAAATTTGCCATGATAATAAAATTACCAGTATTTTCAGGCTCCATCTCAAACAATCTGGCGCAGGCAAACTCTGCAAGTTCAATATCACCATATATTGAAGCCCCATTGAGCAGAGCACCCCAAGCTCTGGCATTAGGTTCAATGGGCATTTTCTTAATTAATTCTACAGCTTCAGAAAGCTTCCCTGCTCGGCTCAGAACTCCAACCATGCAAGCATAATGCTCAATCAATGGGCGAATTCCATACTTTGGCAACATCGAATCAAATATTCCCTCAGCTTCCTCAACCAGTCCAGCATGAGCACAAGCTGACAATATGGCAGTAAATGTGACAGGATCTGGCTGTATCCCACTGTTCAACATTTCATCAAATAGAGTAAGAGCGAAATTAGCATCTCCATGGGCAGCATATGCCGAAATAATAGCTGTCCAAACAATCAAACTCCTATGGTTTGCACGATCAAAAACGCTTTGTGCTCCATCAACAAATCCAAGTTTGGCATATGTATCTATCAAGGCAGTTGACACGTAGATATTCCCATCATAAGAATTCTTAATTGCATAAGCATGAATTTCTTTCCCTCCTTTTAAATGTGAAAGATGTGAAAATGTAGGAAGGATAGTTGAAAGGGTCACACCATTAGGCTTAAAACCAGAATCTTGCATTTGTCGAGCTAAATTTACAACATTCTCATACCGGTTGTTCTGAAACTCTCCAGATATCACAGCATTCCAAGTACTCAATCCTGGATTTCTCATTTCCGTGAAAAGCCTCATAGCTTCATCAACAAAGCCATGAACCATGTATCCCGATATAATCGCGCCATAAGTAACCTCATCCTTCTCACTCATCTCTTCAAACAGCTCCCTAGCATAGTCCAAGCTACCACATTTCGCATACAATGCAATAAATGAGTTACAAAGAGAAAGATCTATTTCAATCCTATTCTTAACCACATATTTATGCACTTCCATCCCCAAAATAAGATCACTAGATTGTGCACACGCTTGCATAATGCTAACTACGGTTATCCCATTAGGCCTCAAATCTTTCAAAAGCAGCATTTTCTTGTACAAATCCTTGCATTCCTTATAAAACCCGCCTTGAGAGTACCCGGAAATCATCGAATTCCATGACACCAGGTCCCTTACGGGCATTTCATCGAACAAATTACTCGCTGACAACATATCATCACACCTCGAATAATAAGTCACCAATCCATTACCCACAAAAACATCAGAATCAAATCTATGTTTGATCACGTAACAATGAACCATTCTAGCTAAAAGAGGTCCATCTAACACCACTTCCGACATTGCCTTGAGTACGCAACTCATAGTAAAACTATCAGGCTTCATATCCACCAAATTCCGAGAATCTGTTTGAGAAAAAAACAAAGAGAATAATTTTAACGTTTCAGTATGGTATTTATGTTGGGAGAACGCAATGAGAAGGGCGTTAAAGGAGAATGTATTTTTTCCGGGAATTTGGTCGAACACGCTGCGCGCGTAGATGAGATGGTGGGTCGACGAGTAAAATGTTATGAGTTTTGAAGCGAGGAAGTTGTCAGAAGTGGAGTAGGAAAGAATGAGGCGGGCGTGGAGCTGCTTGGCCTGTCGGACCAGGCGGCGTTCGGTGCACCAGCGAAGGAGGCGGCCGTAGACAGTGGAGTTAATGCGGTGGCCATCGGGATTGCCTGTTTTTTGAATGGCTTGGCGGGCTGAGGTTCGTAACGGCTTTGTGAGTCTCATCCAAATATGGGTAGCCAATTGAATTTGGTTTTATAAATAAATAAAATAGGGGATGGGTTTACTCCTGGAGCATCCGACCCGCTAAAGTAGTTCTCATATTTCGATGCAATGCCATTGCCCATCCAATTGCAGAAGTCAATCCATTGTCTTTGTTCTCACTCTAAATCAGGGGGAAACCTCATAGCTTCAAAGTGTAATTTGATTGCACACTTACAAGTAACTAAAGGTCAAATATAGTAGTAATAAAAACAATTCATTTGACCAACGTAAGTCTTGATGGACATAAAAAAAATCTTTTATTTGATAAAAAGTTGATAGAACGCACGATTGAAAAGTTATAGATCTTATAAAATGTGTGGTTCAAATTAATTGTTGACTTTGACTTAGATTTTAATCAAATTTTTTAACGGCACCAAACATGAACTTAATAATAACTTGACTTAGTTTCATTCTACGAAATTTATAAATAGTCAAATTTCATTTTTAGCCTATGTTTGGTCCCCTTTCTCAACTGCACATTCTTTTTGTAAATTTTTCCTTATATTTTAAATACATATCCTCCAAAAAATTATTACGCCAAAATACATTTTCTTACAAATATGGAGTTCAAACAAGGGTTTGATTACACATTTTTAATAAACTGAGAAGTACTTTTTATTAATTTACCATTGTTTCATATATTTATAAATTAAGTGTGTGTTTGAGCCGCATTATTTTGAAAAAATGTATTTTAGAATAGTAGATTGACGGAAAATATATAGTTAAAAAATTGAGGAAAAATTTTGGATTTGCTTGTAATATTATTTTATTGAAAAACGTGTGGTTAAAATGATGTAAAATCATTATTTAAGAATACATTTTTTGAAATAATAAGGCTCAAACAGAGCCTAAACCGTTACATTTTTGCGTTTGAGGTAAGTCACTTGACTATTATCTAAAAAAAATGCCATGCAAGCACTTGTTCTCTAAGGTGAGTAGCAACAAGAATGCCAACTGTTCCACCTCGATGTTTGACTTGAAGATGCCATCTACTATCGCCTCCGCTACCTTCAATTTCGAGGTGTTACGCTTTGTTAACAATAGTCTCTAGTCAACATGATTTCATGCAGATTTGTCACTTCTCCTGTCCGAGGTAATCAGCAGGACCTAAGTCTCAACCAAATTGGATGGGCCTCAAGAGTCTAAAGTGGCTGGGGTCCAAAGCCTCAACTATCTATAATATGATACATTGAGCCAAACTCTCTGCAAGTGTGGCTGAGAGTCAAATTCTATTTTTCCCTTTTAAGATGGTACGTGGAAGGTCACTGCCTATGGTGGCTAGAATGTGATATTTTGGCACTTGACTTGTGAATTGGGATGAGATCACGTGTCAAGCATCCAATTGACTTCAGATTCATTTCTTTGATAAACTCACGCTTCAGAGTTGCAATGCAAGAACTAAAGAGATAACAAGAAGCAAATGAACCTAGTAGGTCACAATAAAACTGCCCACAATTGTAGATTCCAGAAATAAAATTCCCTAAACGAGTATGGCAAAATGAGACACAATAAAAAGGTACGAATTACGAGTTCTTCTTTCGCCCTTAAAACTACAATAGTCCTTCCTGTATTGTGGCTTTTCTTATATATAATGAGCCATTGTAGCAAACAACATGGGATTAACAACTTCCTGACTTCTTTCAGGTAGAGACAGCACTTGCTCTTGGGGCAACTACTCAACAGGTATTACATCAGCAGGTGAAAAGGGCACCGATTATTGCACTCTCTCCATTATAATGCAACGACAGTCGGACTCTGGACTCATATATCTTCCTGGTGCAATGACTGGCCTTGTAAAAATTGGAGCTTCTCCATTGGAGGCCATTCAGCTGCAGATTAGAGTAACGAACTTCAACTGTTAGCAGCTTCATGTCAACCTATCTATATTTGCCTGCAGCATCCTCCACCAAAGCTTTATCGGCTGCAATTGAAGGTGTTCTCTTCAGAATAAGAGTCACCCTCAATTATTTGTAGACTAAGTGCATGTTTGGTACGTAAAACTCGATGAGAGTGAATAGTCTAATAAATAAAATTTTAACTTCTTTTATTCTTCAGTCTTTTATGTATAGATATGGATCCCTATTCATGCTGAGATTTTCAGAATGATTGTCCCTACCTGCCTAGATAGACTATCACGTATTTAAGAATGGCAGAAGTCAGATGCCTAAAAAATGCTCGTTTTCTGAGTATATTACTACCATTTACAACATGAATCAATTCAAGATAGACACGAGGTGGACTAACAACGACAGGAACAATAACAATGGCATTACTCCAAACTGTCGGGGTTGTGGCTGGCAAATTCAATTTTGCTTCAAGCTGTGGTTGTATAAGCTAAGATCCATGGCATATTCATATTCGGGAATTAAAGTCATGAACAAACAAATCGAGATATATTGAAATAAGATATTGTCCAGTATTATCTAATTTTCTTTACCAAACATGTCATAAAAGGAAAAACAAGCTTGGTTTGGGAGATTTTTATAAATGGCCTACTACTATTCATTTTTGGTAAAATGTCAATAATACCCTTAATGAAATAATTTATTATATATTGCACAAGATATCCTTAATTTATTGGGATAGTCTTAAATTCTTCTATTTCTCTCATTTCGAGTTTTAATATATAATTTCATCCTTTGATCTAATAAATTAGCATAATCTGTAATATAATTATCATGTAATTTACTAAGATTATCAAATTCCTTCGATAATATATCCATAATCTCTAATTGAGAATAAATATTTTCTATTTTTTCCATTAATCTATCTAACAGATTATCTAATCCTTTAATTGTATAACCTGGCATTATTCAAATAATTCCTTGCAAACTTTATGAATAATAACATATTTAGATAAGTTTTTTGCAAACATGAACAATAATAATCCCTACAATTCTTTCAAGATATCAGAAGAATTCTTTCTAAATTTAACAAAGACAATAATTTTACCTTACTTTTGATCTTAAATCTGTATTCTTAGAACCGAGTGACCTTCAGGCTCTGAATCTGCAAACTGCTCCCTTAAACGGCCTCTTGCCTCAATGGGAATTCTGCTATTTCAGCTTCTTGCCCTTACTGTATCTTTTCTTAGAATTAAGAATAGAGATCTTAAGTAAAGAAAATTCTCTCTTTGTTAAAGTAAGAAAGAGATTATCTTCTTCAATCTATCAAGAATCTATGGGATAGTAAGTTTAGAAACTCATATCTTTCTGATATCAAAAGATTGAGATTTTATTTCTATAATGATTTATACAAGATTTATATTGTATACAAGGGGTTTCCAGAAAAGCTGGTTTTTAAAAACTTAAGGAAAGAGAATGATTTCTAACTCGAGATGATCCATTCTTTCCCAAATACCTCTATTTATACATGATTCAAACTCAC